CAAGGTCAGGGCTGAGGCCTTGTTAAGGCTTAGCCAGCACTTCAGGTTAGGTAAGGCCTAGCTGGAGCTTAACCCAGTTAAACTCTAGCCATGGACTTGGCCAAGTTGAGGCCTAGCCAGGTTCAAAGTAGTTAAGGCCTACTCAGTCTAATTAATGCCTAGCCAGCCCAGTTACTACCTCACCAGGGGCTAAGCCAAGGTGAGGCCTACTCAGAAACCAGTCAGGCTCAGATAGAGTCTAAATATAGTTAAGTTTTAGTCAGCTTAAAGTTTTAGTCAGACCTATCCTTAACCCACGCTTAGTTAAGGCTTAGTTAGCCCAGTTGAGACCTAGCCAGAGCCTAAGCCTGCTTCATGTCCAGTTACCTCAGTTCAAGTCTACCCAGCCTAGTTAAGGCTGGATAAGAGCCTAAGCATAGTTAACATTTAGTCAGAGCACAATTAGGCCTAGCCAGAACTTAAGCATACTTAAGGCCTGTCAGAATCTTTTAAAGTGTAGCGAAAGCCTAAGCCTAGTTTAAAGTGAGGTAGCTTGCTTAAGCCTTCCTCAGCATTTTGCTAAAGCTTAGCCAGTGCCTATGCCTAGCTTAGATCTAGTCAGAACCCAGTTACACCCTAGCCATGGACTTGGCCAAGTTGAAGCCTAGCCAGGTTCAAAGCCTAGTTTAGGCCTACTCAGTCTAATTAATGCCTATCCAGCCCAGTTACTACCTCACCAGGGGCTAAGCCAAGGTGAGGCCTACTCAGAAACCAGTCAGGCTCAGATAGAGTCTAAATGTAGTTAAGTTTTAGTCAGCTTAAAGTTTTAGTCAGACCTATCCTTATCCAAAGCTTAGTTAAGGCTTAGTTAGCCCAGTTGAGACCTAGCCAGAGCCTGAGCCTGCTTCATGTCCAGTTACCTCAGTTCAAGTCTACCCAGCCTAGTTAAAGCTGAATAAGACCCTAAGCATAGTTAACATTTAGTCAGAGCACAGTTAGGCCTAGCCAGAGCTTAAGCATACTTAAGGCCTGTCAGAATCTTTTAAAGTGTAGCCGAGGCCTAAGCCTAGTTTAAAGTGAGGTAGCTTGCTTAAGCCTTCCTCAGCATTTTGCTAAAGCTTAGCCAGTGCCTACGCCTAGCTTAGATCTAGTCAGAACTCAGTTAAACCCTAGCTAGTGCCTAAGCCTAATTTAGGTCTAGTCAAAGCCCTGTTAAGCCCTAGCCAGGTCCTAAGCTTAGTTAAGTCCTTAGTTAATGGCTAGTCACAGCATAGTTAGGCCTAGCCAGAGTCTAAGCATAGTTAAGGCCTGACAGAATTGTAATAAGATATAGCCAAGGCCGAAGCCACTTAAAAGCTAGCTAGCTTGGTTAAGACCTCATCAGGGTACTGTTAAAGTATAGCCAGTGCCTAAGCCTTAGATCTAGTGAGAACCCAGTTAAGCCCTAGCCAAGTCCTAAGCTTAGTTAAGTCTTGGTCATAGTCTCATTAATTCCTAGCAAGGCCATAAGCATAGTTTATTAGTAGTTTTAGTCAGAGCTTAGTTAAAATTTAGTCAGGGCCTACTTAAGTCTTAGTTCATTTAAGACCCAACCAGAGCCTAAGACTACTTCAGGTTAGTTAGTCCAGTTAAAGCCTGGCTAAAGTCTAGCCAGAGCTTAAATACATTTAAAATCTAGTCCGAGCATAGTTAGGGCTAGCTAGAGTTAAGGCCTGTCCGTCTTTTAAAGGTATAGCCAAGCCCTAAGCCTAGTTAAAGCTAGCTAGCTTGGTTAAGACCTCATCAGGGTATTGTTAAAGCATAACCAATGCCTAAGCCTAATTTAGGTTTAGTTGGAACCCAGTTAAGCCCTAGCCAGGGTCTAAGCCAAGTTAAATCCTACTTAAGTCTTAGTCATAATCTAGTTATGTCCTAGCAAGATCATATAGTTTAGTTTTAGTCAGAGCTTAGCCCAGTTAAGACCTAGCTAGACCTGTACACTATTTCAGGTCTAGTTTGTCCAGTTAAAGTCTACTCTGACCAGTTAAGCCCTAGTGAAAGTGCAAACATAGTTAAGACCTAGTTAGAGCATAGTTAGGCCTAGCCAGAGCCTAAGTATACTTGAAGCCTGTCAGAATCTTAATAAGATATAGCCAGGGCTGAAGTCTAGTTAAAAGCTAGCTAGCTTGGTTAAGCTCTCATCAGGACTAGTTACTCCTAGTGAGAGCTTAGTTAAGACTTAGACAGCCGAGCGTGGTGGCTCACGCCTGTAATCCTAGCACTCTGGGAGGTCGAGATGGGAGGATCTCTTGAGCTCAGGAGTTCAAGACCATCCTGAGTCATGAGCAGGAGTGAGATCTCATTTCTGCTAAATGTAGAAAAAATTAGCCAGCGTGGTGGCTTACGTCCATAGTCCCAGCTACTTGGGAGGCTAAGGCAGGAGGATCTCTTGAGCCTAGGAGTTTGAGGTTGCTGTGAGCTAGGCTGACACCATGGTACTCTAGCCTGGGTGACAGGGCAAGATTCTGTTTTTAAAAAAAGGACTTAGAGTCTAAGCCTAGTAAAGGCTTAGTCAACCCAGTTAAGACTTAGCCAAAGCCTAAGCCTACCTCAGTTCTAATTAGACCAGTTAAAGTCTATTCAGCCCATTTAAGGCCTAGTGAGTCTAAACATAGTTAAGATCTAGTCAGAGCATAGTTAGGCCCAGTCAGAGCCTAGGCATAGTTAAGGCCTGTCAGTCTTTTTAAGGTGTAGTCAAGGCCAAAGCCTAGTTAAAAGCTAGCTAGTTTCGTTAACACCTCATCAACTTTTTTTTTTTTTTTGAGACAGAGTCTTGCTCTGTTGCCTGGGCTAGAGTGCCATGGCATCAGCCTAGCTCACAGCAACCTCAAACTCCTGGGCTCAAGCGACCCTCCTGCCTCAGCCTCCTGAATAGCTGGGACTACAGGCATGCACCACCATACCCGGATAATTTTTTCTATATATTTTTAGTTGACCAATTAATTTCTTTCTATTTTTAGTAGAGATGGGGTCTGGCTCTTGCTCAGGCTGGTCTCAAACTCCTGAGCTCAAACGATCCATCCGCCTCGGCCTCCCAGAGTGCTAGGATTACAGGTGTGAGCCACCACACCCTGTCAACACCTCATCAACTTATTGTTGAAGCATAACCAATGTTTAAGCCTAATTTAGGTCTAGTCAGAGCCCAGTTAAGCTCTAGCCAGGTCCTAAGCCTAGTTAAGTCCTAGTCATATTCTTATCAAGTTGTAGTAAGATCATAAACCATAGTTTGGTCCTAGTCAGAGCTTAGTTAAGACTTAGCTAGGGCCTCAGCCTAATTGTTAGTCACAGCCCAGTATGGGCCTAGCAAGTACCTAAGAATAGTTTAGACTTTGTCAGAGCCCATTAAGGCCTCATCAGGGCTTAAGCCTAATTAAAGTCAAATCAGAGCCCATACAAGGCCTAAGCTTTAGTTAAGCATTAGTCAGAAACTAGTTAAGGTATAGCCAGGTCCTAAGTTTAGTTAAGGCCTAGCAGAGCCCAATTAAGGCCTAAGTCTACTTAAATATTAGTCAGAAACTAGTTAACATAGAGCCAGGGCCTAATTTTATTAATGCCTAGTCAGAGTCTTTTTAAGGGATACCCAGGGCCTAAGCCTAGTTAGGGGCTAGCCAACTTCATTTAGGCCTCATCAGAATAGAGTTAAAGTGTAGCAATGGCCTGAGCCTAAGTATCAGTAAAACCTAGCCAGCCTGGTTAAAGCCCAATCATGCGAAAATCCAGTTGAGGTTTAGTCGGAGGATAGTTGAGGCCTAAGCAGGGATTAAGCCTAGGTAAGGTCTGGTCAGAGTCTAGATAAAGTACAGCAAGGGCCTGATACTACTTAAGAAGCTAGTTAACCCAGTTAAGGCCTAGTCAGGGCCCAATCTGAGTTAAGGCTTAATTAGCCCAGTTAAAGCCTAGCCAGGGGGTAAGCTTATTTAAGTCCTAGTCAAAGCATAGTTAAGGACTATCCAGGGTCTAAGACTAGAGAAGGCCTAGTCAGAGTTTAGTTAAGGTATGCCCTGGACCTAGTTAAGGCCTAGTCAGATGTAAGTGTAGTAAAGGTCTAATCAGACTTAAGGCCTAGCCAGGCCTAAGCCTACTTAGGACCTCCTAGTCATCCTAGTTAAGGTCACCTAAAGTCTAGCCCTTTGGCCAAGGCCAAAGCCTAATTAAAGCTTAGGTAAAGTCTACTTAAGGCAAAGGCAGGACTTAAGCCTAGTTAAAGCGTAGACAGTCCAGTTAAAGTCTAGTTAAGTCCTAGTCATAACCCAGTTACCTTAGCCAGGGACTATGCCTAGTTCATATCTGATCAGAGTCTAGATAAGGCCGTGCCAGGACCTAAATCTAGAGAAGGCCTAATCAGAGTCTAACTAAGGTATAGCAAGGGCCTTGAGCCTATTTAAGGTCTGTTCATTCCAGTTAAAGTCTAGAAGGGGCTAAGCTTAGTTAAGTCCCAGTCAGAATCTAGATAAGTCCTAGCCAGGGCTTAAGCCTAGTTAATCCCTTGTCAGAGTCTAGTTAAGGCAAAGCCAGGGCCTAAGTTTGGTTAAGACCGAGTCATTCCAGTTAAGGCCCAGTCAGGACATTGGCCTAGTTATGGCCCAGTCAAGACTAGGGTGTCCAACTATCCCAGTTTGCCTAAGGCTTTCTATATATGGCATTGAAAATCCTGAGTCCTCGAAAACTAGATTAGTTAGCCACCCTAATCAAAGCCTTTTTTTTTTTTTTTTTTTTGAGACAGAGTCTCACTCTGTTGCCTGGGCTCGAGTGCCATGGTGTCAGCCTAGCTCACAGCAACCTCAAACTCCTGGGCTCAAGCAATCCTCCTGCCTCACCCTCCTGAGTAGCTGGGACTACAAGCATGCGCCATCATGCCCAGCTAATTTTTTCTATATATTTTTAGTTGGCCAATTAATTTCTTTCTATTTTTGGTAGAGACGGGGTCTCGCTCTTGCTCCAGCTGGTTTCGAACTCCTGACCTTGAGTGATCCGCCCGCCTCGGCCTCCCAAGAGCTAGGATTACAGGCGTGAGCCACCGTGCCCGGCGAGAGATGCCTTTCTTCATGCCATACAGTTAGTAAGTGTTACAGGTAGAGTCTAAATCTATGTTTCAACTCGAAAGCCATGCTTTTATATATATGTATATTCATATTGACTTCATTCCTTTTATTTTTGATTATCATTTCAGCATATAGATATACCACAGTTTTATTGTAAGTACCTATGTATGGACATTTGGGTTGATTTAGTTTGAGGCTGTTACAAATAAAGCTACTATGAACATTTATCCACTGGAGCCCTCATACATTGCTGGTAGGTATGTAAAACCACTTTGGAAAACAGTTCTACATTTTCGTAAAAGGGTAAACATACACCTACTACACAACTCTATTCCAGTCTTAAGTATTTATTGAAGAGAAATGAAAGCATATGCTTGTAGAAAGACTTGTATATAAATCTTCATAGTAGCTTTTATAATTTTAACTACAGTAATGGGGTATCTCCCCATAATTAAACATTATCTAAATCACAGAAGTGATACTTGCTCATCGTATTATCATCATCCTTCTTTCTTTTCTTTTTTTTTTTTTTTTTGAGACAGAGTCTCGCTTTGTTGCCCAGGCTAGAGTGAGTGCCGTGGCATCAGCCTAGCTCACGGCAACCTCAAACTCCTGGGCTTAAGCAATCCTACTGCCTTAGCATCCCGAGTAGCAGGGACTACAGGCATGCCCGGCTAATTTTTTCTATACATATTAGTTGGCCAATTAATTTCTTTCTATTTATAGTAGAGACGGGGTCTCACTCTTGCTCAGGCTGGTTTCAAACTCCTGACCTCGGCATACCACCTGCCTCGGCCTCCCAGAGTGCTAGGATTACAGACGTGAGCCACTGCGCCCGGCCCATCCTTATTTCTGATCAGGAAGATGAATCACAGTGAATTTAAGTGACCTGCTAATAAGAAAACTTTTAGACTTGAATGTAGATTTTTCTACCTCCAAAGCCCATATTCTCCTTAAAATAAGGTCTCTTTCCTCCATGATTCCAACTGCCCCAGTGTCAGATGCTTCAGCACTTGCCTGCATGGCTGAGGTCTTTGCACATTTCTTCATGTTTTAGTAGTGTTTGCATTCATGTATTATCTAAAGACTGTCAAGCATTTGGTAGATTGCACTTGCATCAACACTTCTGTTTTCTGCTCGAGGTTTATTTGCTGAACTGATGCATGTTGTTTCATTAGGGGATATTTGTTGAGCCTGGCAACAGAGCTGACTTGGTAGGGGAGTCAAGCCTCACTACTTGATTTGCTGTGATCTTGGAAAGGACAGTTCTGAAAAGAGCACTGAAGACGAGCCTGGTTTACTCAGTATTACTTGGTGGGGGCCGTTACTGGATACATACCTGGTATAATGACATTATGGGGGCCAGGAAACTAGATCAAGGCATCCTTCTTTCTGGTACTTTGGATTCAGTTGCCAGAAGGCACTGGGGACTTGGCTTGCCTTTTCCTGGCTGTGCCATTTCTGTCTCCTCCTGTGAGCTTACCAGGGGTGTCAGGCGCCTCTATTAAAAAGCCTGTATGTAAATATAGCTACATCTTCCACTATGTTATCCCGAGGACAAAATAGTTGCCACCCCTGCAGAATGCAGCAGCTTCTGGATTAGATGCCAGTGGTAGCAGTATGCCAAGCATGAAAGTATCCTGTTCTTCCCTTGCCAAGTAAACACCAGCTTCTTGTTTGGTGCTACATTTAAAGGGACTGCAGTAGCAGTAGGGGAGAGCTTTTGACATGGGCAGTTAGTGGCCTAGATGGTGGCACAGTGGAAAAAGCCACTGGGATGTAGTTTAGGTGGCAGATGCCTTGGACTGTAATTTCCCCCCTTGTGCTGTTATATTGCTTTGGAGAACTGTTTGGTTTAATGTGTAATGCAAGAGGAAGGCAGAGCTGGTTAGGAAGAAACAAATGTTTTATTGCACTGAGTAGCTGGGATATTCCAATGCTGCTTTTTTTTTTTTTTTTTTGGAGAGAGTGCCATTTGGGAATCATTTTCTCTGATATTCACAAGGTGATTTCCCACATGAACTCAGGTCTTTAGTTGACTTAGTATGTTTGTCTTCCCATGTCTTGGTGAAACACATTAAGCTTCAAGACACTGGGTTAATGGCACAAGCAGGGCATGTCTCTGCTCTAACAAATAATCTAAAAGATCTTTTCTCAAGGACTAGGGGCTTTGCAGTGTAATACTGGAAGATATGGAAAGAAAGCACAAAACTAGGTTCCTGGTTTTACTACATTCTAGCTATGTGACTTTGGATAGGTCCTTTTGCCTTTCTGGATTTTGATTTTCCTAAATGTAAAATGGAGATAATAAACTCTGTGTTGCCCTACTCCTCCTCATATGGTAATTCTGAAGATCAAATGAGATACCATGTGAAAGATGAAAAAAAGTATAAAACAGTATAAAATGCTAAGGAATTATTAGTCCTATTCATTCAACAAATATTTATTGAATATGTACTATGTGCTAGACACTACTCTTGTACTTGGGCAAAACAGAGATCCCTGCCTTCATAGAGCTTACATTTTAGAGAGAGAGACCAGAAAATAAATGATAATCATAATAAATAAGTACACTATATAATATGTGCAGAAAGTGATAAGTTCTAAGAAAAATGAAAAAGAAGAACAGAGTAAGGAAGACTCAGGAGTGCCAGGTTTGGAGGGGGAGGTTCAATTTTCAGAAGGTGGTAAGTAAAGCTCTCATCGAGAAGGCAAGAATTTGAAGGACGTGAAGGATTTCGCTCTTCAGGTATCCGGGTCTTTACCCACGTTTAAAACGCTAACCTTTGGCCCCTTTACAAACCTTGGGAAACAGCAGCATGAAATCTTCATTCCATTCCAGGCAGAAAAAATATCCAATGCAAAACACCTAAAGAGGGAGTGTGCCTGGTGAATTTGAGGAATGGCAAAGAGGCCAGAACAGCTAGAACAGAGGGAGGGGGAGAGAAGTAGAAGTTGCAGGTTATACTATGGAGGGCCGTATAAGCCACTATAAGAACTTGAGTTTTACTCTGAAGGAAATACAGAGTCATCAGGTTTTAAATGGAGGAATGACATGATCTAACTTCTGTTTTTTTTTTTTTTTTGTTTTTTTTAAATCAACATTATTAGTGTGGAACTGATTTCTGTTTTAAAGGGATCACTGGCTGGTGTGTTGAGAAGAGACTGTAATGAGACAGGGCAAAGGAAATCTGTTAGGAGGCTATGGAAATAAGGTGAGAAGTAGATGATGGTGGAAACAATGACAAGTGATCAGACTGTGGATGTTTTGAAGCCAGAGGCAACAGGATATCCTGGTGGATTGGCTGTGGGTTGTGGGCAAAATAAAAGAGTTAAAGATAAACCCAAGATTTTTTAGCTTGGGTAGTTAGAAGGATAGAATTACGATATAATGTGATAGAAGGCTATAAAATGTAGTAGATTTTAGAGGGAATACCAAGGATCTAGTTTTAGGCATACTCTATTAAATTTTAGGTATCACAAATCAATGTGAAGGTGATTAGATATACAAGCATGTGATTCTGGAGAAATGTCTGAGCTGGCTAAATAAATTTCAGAGTCATCTGCATATAGGTGTTATTTACAGCTTGAATGAGAGCACTAAGAGAGTGACTAGATGAAGAAGCGGACGTATGAGTGATTGACCATATTAAATGCTTGTAGGACAAGTAAAATGAAGACCAAGAAGTAACAATTGGGTTTAGTAATGTGGAAGTCACCAGTGACTTTAACAAGGGTAGTTAGGTGGCGTGGCCATTATATTTAATTAAAAGTGTGTTTTAGAACATAAATATTTAACCTGGTAATATCAGTCATGAGAGATAAGAGAGAAATTTTGTTCCTATCAAGTGAGCCTGCCTTGAGATTCCCCTGCCCCTAGCTAATATTAAAAAGTAAATCCTGGCGTAGTGGCTCACGCCTGTAATCCTAGCACTCTGGGAGGCCGAGGCTGGTAGATTGTTCAAGGTCAGGAGTTTGAAACCAGCCTGAGCAAGAGCGAGAGCCCATCTCTACTAAAAATAGAAAGAAGTTAATTGACCAACTAAAAATATATAGAAAAAATTAGCTGGGCATGGTGGCATATGCCTGTAGTCCCAGCTACTCAGGAGGCTGAGGCAGGAGGATTGCTTGAGCCCAGGAGTTTGAGGTTGCTGTGAGCTAGGCTGACGCCATGGTACTCTAGCCCAGGCAACAGAGTGAGACTCTGTCTTAAAAAAAAAAAAAGTAATTCCTATTAGGAAAAATTTCATTCATCTTTTCAGTTGAGCATCATGCTGGTTTAGTATTGCAAGGCCTCTTGCCAGAGGACAGTGCTGTAGCCCTGGTGGGTTTTTTTTTTTTTTTTTGCTTGGTCAAACAATTTTAATTAAGTTAAAGGTCAGCAGAAAAAGTGCAATTACATGAAAAGCCCCATATGTTGCATGTTTAAACTGTTTTTCATTGTCTTTATTTGTAAGGTGCTGAAGGTGGGACCCACTCCTGAATCTTCTTTCTAGTGGTAGAATAAGGTACATGTTGTTCTAGGGGTGCCACTCACGTTGAATTTATGGTTTGTCCAAATGAATTTATGAGCAGTAGGTGGTTTTGTTGCTGGAGGATCATCAGTCATCGAGTGAAGCCAATGATGCCATTCAGGAGGTGCCATGCTTCCAACCACATGCCAGAATGTATTTTTGTCATTCATTTCAGTAGTTTGTATAACCCAACAGTGATGGCCAAAAAATTGCTTGTTGTCTTTATAGTATTTGTTTCCATATTTGTCTTTCCTTACTAATAATGCACTAACCCTCACATCATTTGCCCTGAAAAAATCTTGCAAATAGCTGTGGAGGCTGCCGTGACCGCTGACCTGCTACAGCCCGTGCTGCAGGACCTGCACTAATTCCATCTTGTCACGCAGGCCCTGCCTCCTGAGTCCCTGATGTGCTTTTCTGAGTGCCAAGCATGTTAGGCAATGGGATTCACTCTTTACCCACATTTAAAATGCTAACTGTTGGCCCCTTTACAAACCTTGGGA